GCCAGGTCAGAGGCAGGCGTTCCGTCCTGGCCTCACTCGGGCCAGCCTCTGCTGCTTCCCCAGGTGCGTCAACAGAGCCACAGCACCGGCCAGCCCCACTGTGGATCTTGTGTGCTTGTGTGTGGGGGGGGGGGAGAGGAAGAGAGAGAGAGAGAATTAAGGCAAACATTGACATATGGCAAAGAGGAGTGGCAGCGTGCGATCTGAGAAATGATTCCTTGCACTGGCACTGTGAATGAATGTCTTCTTGCGAATGGAGTGCTTGTCACTCCTGCATCATGCATGGCTGCAATCTGGCCCGCTGAGTCAGCTCCTGCCCCAGCTGCCGTCGCACACCGTGCACGGTGGGGCACTGCCAGGAGCAGCCCCGATTATCAGTCCCTCCGCCACTTTGTCAGGGTACCCCGAGTGTGTGGGAAGCGATGAAGCCGTGGCTGCCTGGGGGCTTGGTCCCGGGGTGCCTGTATCTCTATGCTTGCTGGGCCGAAGTGAGGGCCACCCAGCCACAGCAGGTTTTATTCACCATTCCGAAAGCTCCTGGGCTCGAGTTGGAGACCCCTTCTCTTGATCATCTCCCTTGAAGTCTCAGACTCCATTCGTTTTTCAGGAAAACGTCTTCCCAGTAGTCAAGACTGAATCGCCACTGAGATTTGGTTTTTGGTTTGTTACAAAACCACTTCGGTTAAGATGGCACTCTGAAAAAAAATGCCAAAGCAACCAATCCGTAACTGTAATCACCATAGAAGTGATGAGGTACACAGGTGATGTCTGCCTCCCTGTGAGTCCGTGCCACTCCTCGTTACAGCCCAGCTCCCCACCGCCCTGTCTCGGGAGGCAGCAGGTGGCAGCACGCGAGCGTGGCTCCCCGTCACTCGCAGGGGCACCGGGATGGAGTTGCAGGTGTTGGCTTTGGCCTTTGCTCTTGTGGGCAGCTCGGGGAGTGGATCAGTGGATAGAGCTTGCAGTCACAGGAGCTGCTGTCTTTATTGCACTGTTCGAATCCTCACGTGTAACTGTGGAGTCCTTGTCATTGCCGGGATTAGAAGCCACAGTTGGATTCCTAAGCAAATTACCATCTCCCGATGGCGGGCATAGGCTGTTTATGCACTTAATAGTTTATCTATGACAATTAACAAAGTTTTCATGTTCTGGAACACTCACCAGAGTAAAGAGGCAGAAGTGTGTTTCTGGAGTTACTTGGTTCCTTTTTCGTATGCATTGAGCGCCTCCGCTGGTGTTGAGACATGCTACAGGTAACAGCCTGGCTGGGTAGAGCTTGTATTGGAAAACGCCGCGCTTTGTCGCATAAACGCCTGCAGTCCTGTGGCTGGCCACCAGGTGTCATCAGTGCCCTAGGAGTTCTGCCATCACCCCACTGGGTAGAAACTGGACATGACCGGGCTGCTAGATCCTCTCAGGTCTGCTTGTTTCCACGTGATCAATGCCAGGAGAACCTGATACAGTGTGATATATAGAAGCAAGGTATGACTGGAATAATGAAATTTCAAAAATAAGCCCTCTTAGCGCAGGGCCATAATGGTTCCCCTGGGGCTTGTGACTGCATCAGCTGCACTGGGTACTGCTGTTGGCATTGCTGGCGTCCCAGCTCTTTCCCTCTTTTATGGGAAGACGGATTGAACTTGGACTTGAGAGTACTTGGTAATCCCTCCTAGGACATACTGTAACAGCTGGTGTTTTGTATTGTAGCAAATTAATTCCATACAGCAGTTGGTGGGTCATAATTATGGCTGAGGTTTGACAGGTTCCAAAGCCTTTTCAAGAAATTAAGCCAAAGGACATAGCATCATTGCTTCAAAAAGTTAGCTTGAAAGTTCAAGTCAGCACGCCACCTAGTTTTATAAAATGCTAAGTATTTTGGTTAGGATTCCATTGGATCATTTTTTTTTTTAAAAAATACGTTCTTGTATTTGAATGGGGCAGGTGAGGGTTCCCATGCACATCACAGCACGTGGGCTAGGGTCCCCGCCCGTGCCGTTCCAGCTGCCTGCCTCTGTGCCGCCCACAGGGGGAGACCCAGGCGGGCTCCAGCTCCTGGCTTCATCCTGGCCCGCGGCAGCTGCTGTGGGCACTTCAGGATTTCGGGGTACAACCTGCCCATTACAGTCAGTCTCATTCATTCATTCATATCCTCTCCGGCCCCGCCCCCGTACACCATGAGTAGAGTCTTTATTCCTGGAAGGTGATCTCACCACAGGATGAGGTGTAGCTTTGGAAAAACGTAGCCTTGGGTGTTCCTTGCGAAATGAGGAATGAGATGCTCAGGGCTGTCGGGGATGGCCAGGACAGCGCGGAGGGGCCGTTTTCATCTTCAGTTTGAATGGAATGTGAATATACCAAATTTTAATTGTGTCTGCCGTCAGCATAAATGAGCTTGATATATGGCATACGTGGCATATCAAGGTATGGCAACTAGATTCTTCAAGCATTCTTTCATGGTATGGATTCTTTTTTTTTTTTTAAGATTTATTTTATTTTTATTGGAAAGGCAGATATACAGAGGAGAGACAGAGAGGAAGATCTTCCGTCCGATGATTCACTCCCCAAGTGACCGCAACCGCCGATGCTATGCCGATCCAAAGCCAGGAGCCTCTTCCGGGTCTCCCACATGGGTGCAGGGTCCCAACGCCTTGGACCGTCCTCAACTGCTTTCCCGGGCCACAGGCAGGGAGTTGGAAGGGAAGCGGGGGTGCCGGGATTAGAACCGGCGCCCATATGGGATCCTGGGCATGCAAGGCAAGGACCTTAACCACTGCGCCACCGCGCCAGGCGCATGGTATGGATTCTATAGTACATCGTATAGATTGTAGAGTGTGCGTGTTTCCATACACACAGGGACAATGTGCACCACTCACACAAGGGCTTCTCTGACGACATCCAGAGCTTCAGTTGCACACACACACATACACACACACAGCACACCCCAGCTGTGTATGTGCTTTGCCCTGTATGTATGTACATGTGTACGCGTGAACGCGTGTATGTGCAAGTTCTACAAGTTTGTGGAAGTTTCGCTGTTCTTGCCCGGCGGGCGTGTGTCTTAGAGCTCAGCACAGTTGCATGGCTTTTCCTGTTGGCTCTTCCCATCCGCAGAGCCGGCGGCTAGCTCAGTGGGCTCTTCCAGCCACCCGGCGGTGCCTCTGACTTTGCTGGAGAGTGGATGGCTTTGTCCCCCCTGAGCTTCACCCAAAGGACCCTTGGTTAGAGCTGTTGAAGGCAGCAGCTGCTGGGGAGAGCAGCAGCGCACCCTCGCCTGAGCCCGCACCTCCGCCTCCACCTCCACACTGGTTTCGTGTTTTTACCCCGGGAGTTTGTATTTACACTTGGCTTTGAACGGCCACCCTCTCGCGGGCCTCCTCTGTGCTGCGTCTGCCTGTACGGCGTTGGGCAGACTGGGAAAGCTGGGGCGCCACAGCGCAGTGCCTGGGCCAGGATAGGCCATTCCCGCGGCCCCCTGAGCAGTCAGAAAGCTAACTCAGAGGGCCTCCGTAGGATCTGAGTCTGGCGTGTATTTATTTATTTGTTTGTTTGTTTTTGCCCAAGCCCGAGTTGGCCCGCTCACTTTTCTTTCCTCTGCGTTGGGAAACCGGCGCCTTGCAGGCTGGGGGACTGCAGCAAGCCAGCGTGCCCGTGTGGCTGCGTCTGCTTTCCTGCTAATGTGTGTTTCGGGGCGCCTCCAGACTCCTGCTTCCACTGCGCTCAGAGCTGGGGGCAGACCCGTTAGAAAGTGAACTTAAAGACTTTGTGTGGTTCTTGGGAATTTTTTTTTTTTTTTTTGGAAAAATGGAGTGTATTTTCCGTTATTAGGCAGCAGAAAACCAAATTTAAAACACATGACCGCCTTCGAGGTGTTAGGCCAATGTAAATTTTCATCTTGCTCCTTTCTCTTCTGTTTTTGTTTCATAATCTCATTACCCGTATTTCAAAAATCCCAGGCGTCAAGCGAGGAGTTAGGGGTGCTTCGCAGTTTTGTTCTTTCGCGGGCTGTTGGTCACGAGCGAGCTCCGAATGCAGAGAGCTCGTCTCTCCATATCCCTACGTGCGCGTCTTTGGGTTGTTCAAGCAGACTCCTTTTGTTAAAATCCTGGTCCTGACAGCCAGCGGTTATTGTTCAGTTGCTGAGTGCTGCCCAGTCTGCCGTGTGCCTCACTTGTTGTTATGAAGCAGTGTGAGTTCCTGGGCCCGCTGCTTGGCGGCAAGGACCTCGAGTGTTTAATGGTTGTGTAACACGCCAGCGCTAACAGCATCAGAGCTGGGCCAGGCCCTCACTGCCTGTAGCTGATGGCTTTGGGATAAGCATTCATCAGCATAGTTACTAATTTTTTATGTAGTAAATATATGTAGTATATAGTAGTTACTATATATTTCTATAAAGAAATATGCATATAATTGAAACTCTCCGAGACACAGCAAAGGTTTGTTTTCTTTTCTGGCAAGACTAGACTTTGGAGTATCAGCTTGCATTGTCGGGTGTCATTTGGACGACTAGGACACGTGTGAATCTGGGATTCCGTCCTGCTGCTTCTGCAGGTTCCTCCGTGAGAGACCTCTGCCGGGTCCCAGAAACACGCGCAGTGCGTCCTGCGTGGCTGCTGGCCGACGGCCGTGAGGGGCCTCGCTCTGCAGTGAGGAGTGTGGCTCAGCAACGGGATGCTAATGGCAGGGGAAGGACTCTGAGACAGCACGGACTGTGCAGAAGCTCCTTAGCGTTCCCCGGTGCAGTCAGCAGTCCCCAGCCTTGCAGGAGGCCTGGGTGCCCAGCGCAAGGTGCGGTTAGGGTTTCTTCTAGAAGTGCACATGTCAATAGCGGAAGATCTTCCACTCATTGAACTCTCAGCCTATAGCCTATACAGGAAAGAAAAGAGAAAGAGGAGAGACGGTGAGGGCCCAGGTGGTGTGTTGAAACTGGAATGATGAATTTGTTACACAATGACCTGTTAGCCATAACAGTTTTTAATGCAAATCTTTCTTTGCTTTTCTAGCACCAGCTTCCAAGATCCGTGAGTCTTGGCAGCCGGCGTGGCTGCGGGCCGTGCATCGGACCCCGCGCGGCTCACTGAGGCCGGTGGGTGGAGCGGTGGCATCATGCCAGCCTTGGCCATGGGATCTGGCAGTGACACAGGTATGCAAGCCCCTCGACTGAGATTTCCTTCCCAGTGGAACGAGTGCCGTGTTGAGCACGTGTAGCCAGGGGTCCAGATTGTCTCGGAGTGGCTAATGGGAGGGCTGGGAGCTCAGCTGGACCTGCCCGTGGATACTCCCTGCCCCCGGCACGCCCCCAGTGCTCTGGGGCACCTGCTGTCCCACCAAGCTGGGACGGTGGTGTGTGTTTGAAGGGCAACACTTCAGTGTCTGCTCATGCAGGGCAGTGTGGCAGTTACTGTAGCATGCACAGAGACCCCCTCCCTGCACAGGTGACAGTTACTGTAGCATGCACACGAGCCGCTCCCTGCACAGGTGGCAGTTACTGTAGCATGCACAGAGACCCCTCCCTGCAGAGGTGGCAGTTACTGTAGCATGCACATGACCCCTCCCTGCACAGGTGGCAGTTACTGTGGCATGCACAGGAGAGCCGCTCCCTGCACAGGTGGCAGTTACCTTGGCATGCACACTAGAGAGCCGCTCCCTGCACAGGTGGCAGTTACTGTAGCATGCACAAGGAGACCCCACCCTGCAGAGGTGGCAGTTACTTGTAACACACGAGCTGTCACATGTAGCAACAGATAGGCACTTTTTTGTGTGCTTGTACCACATTTGTGACAGACCTCACATTGAAAGCAGAAGACGTTGCCTCTACCCCTTTCTTCTCTCTCTCTTTCTCTCCCTCCTTCGCTCCCTCCCTCCCTCCCCCTGTATCTCCAGGCCTGAACACTCTGCAGAAACAAATGTGGGCCATGAAGGGGGTCAGTTACAGCTGAGCACCAGACTAGGAGATGCTGACTGAATATTTCCAGAAGGGAGCGTTGTCCCGCACTTGCACACTTGTGTGTGCATGGAGTCTCCTGCTGGGGCGGAGCTGCCTGGCAGGTCCTGCGGTGCGGGTCTCCTGGGAGGACCCAGGACTAGGAGAGCGGGGGCGCCTGTGCAGGTGGCACTGACTGTGCTAAGTCAGGCTTCCTGCTCACTGTGCCCTCACTGGCGGTCACAGCTGCTGACCCCCTTCCTTTCAGAATGGCTGGTTGCCTGTTCGTTTCTGCACGGCCTCCATGTGGGATCCCGGCACATGCAAGGCAAGAACTCTAGCCATTAGGCTACCGTGCCAGGCCCCAAATCCTGTTTTTTGTTTGTCTATTTTGTTTCTCCTTTTTTATAAACAGCTGTGTGTGCATTTAAGGATACTTAAACTCTAGCGATTTCCACACAATATACTGAAGATTCTCTGTCCCACATTTTAAATTTTAACAGTGGTTTATTTTTATTAGAAAGCCATTTCACAGAGAGAAGTAGAGACAAGAGAAAAGATCTTCCATCCGCTGGTTCACGGCCCAAATGGCTTCAATGGCTGGAGCTGAGCTGATCAGAAGCCAGGAACCAGGAGCTCTTTCTGGGTCCCCCACACAGCTGCAGGCTCCCAAGGCTTTGGGCCATCCTCTTCCGTTTTCCCAGGCCACAAGCAGGGAGCTGGATGGGAAGTGGAGCAGCCAGGACATCAAACAGTGGCCATGTGGGACCCCAGCACTTGCAAAGGGAGGGTAAATCGGTTGAACCATTGCACCGTCTATACCCTGACCCCGCCCAGTCCCCCTTGCTGATGCTCAATGTTCTCTGTCTTTGTCGACTGACACTTGGGTGGGAAACACGCGCCCCTGCGTGATGAAATGTGTGTGCTGCTGGCCCGCCGGCCCTCCCTCTTGGGGGTTAGCCGCTTGCAGCTGGTTGTGATGCCATGGGTTTGCCCTTTCCCCGTGTTCAGGTGGGATTTCTGCACTGGGGTTTTGTGTAGTAGTCCTTGGGTCCCATGGTTGGGCGCCCTCCGGCTGGCCCGGCGTGTGCCCCTCAGTGGCCCTCAGCTGCCATTGCTTCTCACAGGGAAGTTGGCTACCTCGCTTAATGACGTGTTCCTACCCGAAGATCGCGAACTTTCTCTTGGAAGGTTTGCAGATAATTCTACAAGTTTGCACACCGTGTATTGTAATCCGGCTGTGGTTTGTAGGTGGAGAAAAGCAGTGGGCTCGGTTTATTTCCCCACGTGGACTGCCAGTCAGTCCTTCCAGCATCACTTAGTAATGCGTTTGTCCCCACACGGACTTGTAACGCCCCCTCTCATCACGTGCTAGCGTCACACATTTAGGGGTCTCTGCCGTGGCTGTGACGGTGTTGGTTGCTTACTTCATAAGAATGTGTAATAGATAATGTGAAAATTAACAGCAAAGTTAAGAAGATAGTACAGAGTTCCAGGACACTTCTTATCTGAATGTCTTGCATTGGCTTGGTTTCCATAGGTGACCCCAGATTGATGCCTTGTTACGGATGCAAAGTGACAGCTTTGTTTACATGTGTATCCTTTTTCTGGCTGCAGACTCTCCTTTGGGTCTCCGGCCTCATTTGGCTGTTGTGTCATATTGAGTTCCTCGTGGCTGTGATGGTTTCTCAAGACAGGCTGTGATTTTTGGTGACACTAATCATTTTGTTGAGCGCTGGCTAAGGACCTTGGAGGAACCCCTCTCTCAGAAGATTTTCTCTCCAGGAGACTGGGGCCATGTGTTTTGAGGGCATGCTCATAGAAGTGCCATCAGTACCCTGTTGATGGTATGCACCATCAGCGTGACGGGCAGTGGCATGAGCTGACAGCTCCACAGTGAGGGTCTTGTCCTTTCCCACGCTGCACACTCTATCAGAGGTGTGTGGGCGTATGTCTTTCAGGGTAGCCCCATCCATGGTTAGGAAGTCCTTGGTCTTTCCTCCCTAGGGATTCTGATCAGTGGAGACCCCCGGCTAGAATATGGATCACAGCATGGGCTGTGTGTGTCTGGGGGTTCAGGTGATTGCCGTGTTGACTGTTGGGGCCCCCTTTTGCCTCCTTCGCTGACTCCTGTCACGTGGCCTCATGTGCGGGATGTGAGCCTGTCCTCACGCCAGTACTGTGGATGTGGCAGGCTCGCCTTGAGTGTTTCCTGTCCCTGGCCTCAGGTTAGCCACATCCTTGTGGTGTCTGTCACGGGGAGTGGGATTGGAAGCCAAGATCTGGCTCAGGGGCTGCTCCTCAGGCTGCCATCTGTTATGTGGCCCTGAGCTGACCAAGCGTGGACCTGTGTGTGACTTCACTACCCCTGCATGAGCACACACGTGCGTCTGTGTCAGCACACGTGTTCAGATGTGTGTGGGAACACATGTACAGATGTGTCGGCACACCCATGCGGATGTGTCCATGAGCACGTATGCAAGTGTGTCGGTGAGCACACATGTGCAGGCATGTCAGTGAACACAGTACAGGTGTGTCAGTGAGCACAGTAAAGGTGTGTCAGTGAGCACAGCCATGTGCAGGTATGTCAGTGAGCACACAGGTGCAGGCCCCAGTGAGCACGCACGTGCAGGTGTGTCAGTGAACACACGTGCAGGTGTGTCAGTGAGCACAGCCATGTGCAGGCATGTCAGCACACACACGTGCAGGTGTGTCAGTGAGCACTCCATGTGCAGGCATGTCAGCACACACACGTGCAGGTGTGTCAGTGAGCACAGCCATGTGCAGGCATGTCAGCACACACACGTGCAGGTGTCAGCACACACACCTATAGGTATGTCAGTGTTTTGGGGTCTACTTTCTGGTCCTTTCATGGTGCTAATTGAGTCCTCATTGATGTCTCCAGCTCTCATCCATGAGCAAATTATCCATCTAGACTTTTCCCCTTGCTCCTCTGGGAATTCCTCCCGCTGTGAAAACCCACCTCTGTGCTCACCACTCTGTTGTTGAACTTGACCAGGACTAGTCCCCATGTAGATGAGATCTTGAGAACATTCATGGGAAAAGCATCTTATGCAGAAACAACACAGTTGGATTTAAATTTTCTGTTATAAGATCCATAGTCAGAGGGTGGGGAGAGATGGGTTGACTGGCTGTGTGGCCGGAGTTGGGCCAGGCAGAAGCCAGAAGCCGGAAGCTTCATCTGGGTTTCCTATATGGGTTCAGGGTCCAGGCAATTGGACCATCATCCACTGCCCACCTAGGTACATTAGCAGGCAGCTGGATCGGAAGTGGAGCAGCCAGAACTGGAACCCACAGCCACATGGAAGGCTGGCTCGTAGCAATGGCTTTACCCACTATGCCCAGCAAACATCACATAATGTGAAACATAATACTTGTGCAGAAATGCCTGTCAAATTTTTGTAAGCACAGTTTTGAAAGTGGTTGTAACACCCATGTCCAAGTGACCACCGCCTGGCCGAAGAATCAAACACCCTGAAAGCCACCCCGTTTTCCTTCTCAGTTGCTACCTCTGCACCCCTTAGAGGGGTAGCTAGGACAGAAGAAGCGATTCTGGGGCCAATGCTGTGGCACAGTGGCTTAAGCCTCCACCTGCAGCACAGCTATCCTGTGTGGAAGCTTTGGTTTGACACCCAGCTGCTGAGCTTCCAATTCAGCTCCCTGATAATGCACTTGGGACGGCTGCAGAAGGTGGTCCAGCTGCCTGGGTTCTGCTGGGGACCCAGGAGGAGCTCCTCCTGGCTCTTGGCTTCAGCCTGTTCCTGCTTCAGCTATTATGAACATTTGGGGAGTGAGCCAGCAGATGGAAGACCTCCCTCTGTCGCTGTGTCTTTTTGTTTGTCTCTCTCAGCCTTTAATGTCAATAACATGACCATACAGTGACATAGTTAGCATTTTGTAAGCATTGTTATTTTTAAAGATCTGTTTATTTATTGTTTTATTGCAAAGTCAGATATATAGAGAGACAGAGAGAAGTATCTTTCATCTGCTGATTTACTCCCCAAGCAACTGCAACAGCCAGAGTTCTGAAGCCAGGAGTCAGGAACTTCTTCTGGGTCTTCCACATGGGTGCAGGGTCCCAAGGCTTTGGGCCATCCTCTACTGCTTTCCCAGGCCACAAGCAGGGAGCTGGATGGGAGGTGGGGCCACTGGGATTAGAAGTGGCGCCCACATGGGATCCTAGTGCATGCAAGATGAGG